CAATACTGGACCACATTCAAAACTTGTTGTCTCTATTAGTCACTATGACACAAAAAACATGGGAGAATACGGTCCAGGTTGAAAAATATCGAAAATACCATTACATGTATTGTATCTAGTTTACTTTCTATGCAATTAGACTTTTTTTTTTTTTTTTAAATGTAGGTGTAATTAGTTTAGCAGGATGCAATTATATTTTTAAATGAACACTTTAAAATGATTATGATATCATAATACATTTTTATTACATTCACCCATTAGTTTGATACCTCCTCTCCAAAGATTTCGATTTATATAGATGCACTGTATTTGTGTATGCATTATTCCACACACTCAAATACAATTTTGTCTCTTTGCACTGCATTTCTGTAAAAACAAATGTAGGTGTGTTTCTTGGGATCCCCCATTAAAACTTCAAAAGAAGACTTTGGGCCTTGAGACCCCTCTTTGATAATCACTGGCCCTTATATGACCAAATTCTTATTTATTGCTCCGCTTTGACTGTTCGCCTTTTCTGTGGCAACTCAGCTCTGGATCTTACCCATGTGAGAAGTGCTCCATAGCCTTGACATGGAGCCTCTCTCTGGGAGAGATGTCCTGGCTGTTGGCCAGGTCCACTGTTCGCCTCACAGCGCTGGCCAGACGTTCATTCAGACGGGTTGAGCTCGCCGTTCCTGCCAGCTCCAGCCCCGTACTGATCACATGGCCCATAACTAGAGGGAAAACAGATGACACTGGTGTCTTGTTCTGGACTTTCTTACTTAACGGTTTACATGAAAATCAAATGCTCTTGTAATTTTTTTACTTTGGATGCAAAACCAGATATGTTAGGGGCACCTTCAGGTAACTGTCTTTACTGTTTAAGCTGGGCCTCTCAATTTCTGTTCTTGTTTAATAAGAGATGGAGTTAACATTAAAAGGTTTTCATTCCTGCTGTGTGCCCTCAGGATAATATGAGTTGGCTCACCAGTCATTCACTGTGTATTTTGACTTCAAACTGAATGTTTATTCCAGTCATGAATTACACTTTAATGCAATGGCGCAGACATTTTGAGGGACTGTTGCTCTAACCTGAAAAAAAGTAATAAAAGTTTGAAAGGTAATGAAAGTTGATTTAATTTGGTTTAGCTACTCTTATTTACAAAGCCACCACGAGCAAAAAAATGAAAAAACAATTCTCCAGAGGGGCAGCACCGCCGAAGAGGGCAAACGGACTGTTGCTGTTGCAACTCTTTCTAAATATTAGTTGACAAGTACTTCATTTTCTATCAAGGCTGTGAGAGGTTAAACAAGAACATCAGCAAAGACAACTGTGTTTTATTTATATATTCAGACTTGATGAATCCATTGCTTATGATTCATGTCAGCAATGTAATTCATCTCAAACCTGAAGACCTCAATTTGTTTGCCTCATATAACCACAACATAGACAACATTTAAATGGTCTGATCATGTATTTTCAGCCAATAAATACAAAAGCAGCTTGCACGCTCTCAGGAGCATCAATAAGTGTTGAACATTGAACGATTCTGGATTGATTTGCATGAACAACAATCAAACACTTGATGAGACCTCAAACTGGGTGTACCGTGATAAACAGCAGCATCTAAACAGTTATAATTGCTCACTGTAACAGACAGGTACTGATCAACCACTGCCTCGTGATCTCAGGTCAATGCTTTTGGTTAATAAATGACAGCACAGGAAGTCATTGCTAAACATCAAAGGCTTCACCATATTAGGCAGACGCATTAGCAGACATTTATAGCAGAAAAGGCACAGGTGTAAATAACATTAACAACACCTCAGTTCTATTGACAGAGCATTTTCACAGCAGCCATTTTGAAATAGTAGGGTAAAGACAGGTGTTAATGATACTAATTAAAAGGTTCTGTTCCATTTAGTGTAGCAGAGCCTTTCCAGTGAGCCAATGCGCACAATAGCAGCACCCTGGCTCGGTTTGACCTGAATGGAACAGAACCTTAATTCTGATGTTTAGACTAGATAGTTAAGAAGAGTTCTACACACCCTTCTGTGTGACCTTGTTCTCTTGGGTACAAGACTGTGTGTCAAACAAACTCCGTGCCACCAGTGTTGTGTGGACTTAAGCACCTGTATTTTAACGGTTTAATATATTCATTTTTATGACAGTGGAGACTAATGAGTGTTTATTTATTCATCAAAATAAAGACCTGACCTGAAAGTACAGTTTCTCTTCATCAACCTTGAACTGCCCTATGAGAAGGAACGGACCCCTTCAGTGTTTATTTAAAGTACAGAGGAGGGTCACAGTGGTTTTTAATTAGGTTATTCCTGCACTGGATACATTTAGCACAGTTATCTTTTTTGCACTCATCACTTATCTTTTTTTATTCATAACCTTTAACATTGATTTGCTTTTGTCACCTTTTATACATTTTTTAACTCTGCTGCTGCCTCCTTGCCAGATCTACTTTGAGAGTTTCCACGTCTCACCAGGACATACCAGGTTAAGTAAAAGAAAGAAAGAAAAAAGAATAAATGTTTGTCCACATACTTACCAAAGTTAGGGTCAGCTGCCTTGATAGCAGAAATGCATCCTTCAAATCCTCCCAAGGTTTCATCATTCCGCCATTTCACATACTACAACATTGAAATTGTGTTAACTTTAGTTTTGGTCTGCAGACAGTATCACAGTGTGTACATACTGGAGGGGAGGGGGGGGTGTATATGGGTGCTGAGTACCTGGGTGAGTATGGCGTCATATAGTTTGCAAGCCTCATTACTGGTGGTGGACAGTGGAAGACCTTCTGCCCTCCATGCCTGTAAGGGACAGAGGTATTAGGACGCAGATATAAATCAGTGTACGTTCAGTATTCACACACACAAGAAAAACTATGTTCCCGAAGAAGACAACCCGAAGAGGTTCCTAATTATCCACCGACATTACTCTTAATGTCTCCGCAGGTTTGTGTTTATCCCACATCGCCATATTCTTGCTGCAACAGTTCACTGTCACTTTCCACTACACGTATCTAACGTTACCACAATAAACAGTAATGTCGCTTACTTTCTCATGCTATTCTTGGGCAAAAGGTTTATATATTTTTAAGACGTAGTGTTAAAGCTACTTCTTTCTGAAGCCCCATCACTGACCTGGCAGTCTCTGAAAGTTGCAGTACTCATGTTTGTGGTGAAACTTGAACCTCTTCGGACGGTCCAATTTCCTGGAGCTGCGTCAACTTTATAAAAGACATGAGACCGGAAGTTAACTGTCCTGGAATTGCTTTCAAAATAAGTGTATGAACTTTATTTCAAAGTAATATGTATTTTCAATCATAAACCTTTTTATGTGTACAATTTTTAATGGTAGAGAAGGATAACGAACAAAAATCTGCGTTGTTAACTCGTTATTATAACACCCCTCTGTAGATTTCTCAAGGTTAAAGGGTTATTCCACTTATTTTCAACAGCCTAGTTTACTCAGCTTGAGCTCTGGGCTTGGGGCTTGAACACTTCACACTGTTAACAGAAGTCATGGCCATTTACCAGGCAGGGAGAGTCTACCACAAAGTTGCTATTGGTTGCATTATGAGAAATGTAGAATTCCATGTTTTTGATGCTCGCTGCTAAGCATTAAAAGTCTGTTTTTCTAAACTTTTGCTGCTTTCATTTTAACCATTTTTTCTTTATTCTGTCTTCTGCGAGCAACACTAAATCGCCGCACTACTTCCTAAATATGAAGGTTTATCAAGTATTTATCAAAATTTATATAATACACTACTGTTCAAAAGGTTGGAATCATACATTTTAAATAGTTTTGGCCCCAAAAGAAGAATAATTAAATGATAAAAACTTCCATTATTCAATGTTCACAAAGTGTTGCGCGTTCTGCCCTTTCAGTTGTCAGTCTGTTTGAACACTTGAACAATATTTTGCTCTCTTTGTACAAAAGATTACCTTCTTTGCAAACCCTTCTCACAAAATAACTAATATTTATAGAGAGGATGAAATATAGGAGTCATCTCAGCCATCTGACTGTACCGAATCAAGCTTTTGTGGCAGGTGATTCCCAACTTTTGAACTTGTACATAATGCTACAAATTATATATGCTACTACATTTCTAAACCACTGCAGCCTGACTGTATTACATAATCCACCTACACACATTGGGGTTTACATTTAATCCCCTTGTTACAGTACGTCGTGTTCTCTGCATAAACACACTGATTTTAGCTGAATCATTTATTAAGTGAGAACTGGTAATGGCAGTGGAGAGAAAAGGTAAGAGCTCTAGCTGGCTAGGACAAAAAAAAAAAAGTAGGCGGAAATCAGCCAAAAATGTAAGACATTATAAGCTAAAACGGACATAGTTTTAGTTCAAAATTGTGGTTCATAATGGTTAGCTGAAACTTGTTCATAACCATAACCTATACAAAAGTGAGATTTTAGTGGACAAACGTTTAAAAGAACTGCATTGTTTTATTGCCATTTTCAGCATACATCCAACACCCCTATGCATTTTAGCTACATGAAGCATTTACATTACAAGTTATGTGTCGAACAGAACAGTTTAAAAATTAGGATTCATTTTCTTTACATATAATACAGTTTGCACACATGTTAATAAATATCAATACAATCATGTCAAACTTATCACACACCATCTACAACAACCTTTAAAATTATGTAACCTTTTTTTATTCACAGCTCATACCAAGTCATAAATATAGCCTCTAGTGTTTCTGTGCTGTCGAACAGTGACCACCTGGATTTTTACAGTTGTCGAAAAGGCTATTAGATTTGACTGCCCACCAGATAAACAATAATGTTTGCACAAGTTGCTCATAAAGCACTTTGCATTTCTCCAGCACCCCATTTAAAATCATCTATTTGTTTGTTTGGGAACCTGCTGTAAAAAAAGGTATTAAAAAAAAAAAAAAACAGTAAAAATCTCGAGCTCCAGTGGGACACACAGATGTGATTACTTCCAAAAAACAAGTCAACAACTCAGAAAAATAAAATATAACTTGTGAATGAAAATGAAAAAGGCATCTTGTTCAAGGGTAAAGTGTTAACACTGCCATAGACTGATGTAAGTGTTGTGTAGTGTGTAAGTTCTTGTGGTGTACTCCTTAGATATTGCAACATATCCACCAACAGAGACAGTCCTGTGGCACAAAATGAGTTAATGTGAGCTACGCTGATCCCCCATTGACGACATTAACGTGAAATCGGCTTCATTAACAATAACATCCCGAGGTTAACGCACGTGGGAGGAAACTTATCAGAACGTAGAGAAACCATTCCTTCCAAGATGAAACCTTTTAACAGTTGGTTAACTTCGCTCCTGTATACCACAGTAGGTAACATAAACATGGACAAATACTTGTAAACGTCAACTGTCAGTGTGATATACAGTGATGTCAGCATGTCACGGAGAGGCCCATCATTATCCACGCATATGAAATGTTTAATGCTCATATTAAGTCTAGTTTAGTCTGTATTCTATGACCTAGCTATTAAAGACAAGGTTAAGTTCTTCTATTTGCCTGCAGCCTCCATTCCTGACATGCAATGGCTTATGGGTGCACAGGAGTTATGCACAAGTGCAAGATAATGAGATTCAGGGCACTCTCCTGTGAATGCAAAACTAACAAAAACAAGTTTATCTGTTAAAAGCAAACAAAGATAATAAATACATAAAAAACAAAACATGGCCATATTTAATGGATTCTTAGTGTTGACTCACTAAACAGAGGGAAGAAAAAAGAGGGATGTTGTCTTTGTGGTTCATTAGGATGCGGAGTCAGTCAGTTTGTCACTGGATTGAAAGGCAACTTCAGCAGAGGATGTCCTTCCTGCAGTCAGACTGAAAAGGAGAATCTGAGATTGAGACCGGAGACACCACTCCTTAAACACACCTCTGTAGCAGTCCTTTTTCGGAAAAGAGAGGACCCTCATCCGCTGAAAATGTGACTTGTTCTACACAGCTATACACAAAAACACAATTCTTTACAATTCCTTTACATCAGCAGGACCAAACTGCATTCTTCCCTTTAGACAATCGAGAATGAAACAAGTCTTTAAACATTCTCCCAAAGCCCCCCCCTCTTTCCCATCCCTGTTTGAGAGGATCCACTCCAAGGCTGGGATGATAAAGCTGTGAATGCACTCGCCCTCTCCACCCACAGAGAGAGAGAACAAGCAAAACTGCAAAGTGATTAACTAGGACTGCCTTTGGGCAGGGGATATGTAAACGTTGCAGACCGCTTCAATGTCAGAGGCAGCCGTAGTGTTTGTGTGTTTTTGGGGGGGGGGGGGATCTTTACACATTCACTGCTGCGGGTGTTCAGCAGATTATTCTGATCGAAGATGATCAATGCGGAAGCAGAGACCGCCTATCAACAGTCTTTTTCCCCAAGGCGATCTCCCTTAAAGCCCAGTTGAGGTTGCAACCCCTTTGGAGATGCATCTGACTTCCTCCAGGTTCCTTGTCCTCCCTCTTTCTCCCGAAGCCCTCTGCCTCCTACCAGGAGGCGCCACCAGGAATCGCGCTGCTCCCACCTCACCCAACCATTCTCATTCAGGATCTGTCTCTTGAAGCAAAGCTCCTTTTCTGTCTTCAGGTGGTCTGAGAGAGGCACGGGGAGAGCAAGGAATTAAAGAGAGAGAACCAGTCACACAGCATCTTAAACATTTAGAGTTAAATGGACTGGGCCTGCTCTGCTCTGTCTGGCACATGCCCTCTGCGCAACAACACAGTCTGTACACTCCACCTTTAACCTTCTCCCATCGTGGCCGTAGATACAGACAGCTGCCCTACAAAAAGGCACGCTTTGGAAAAGTTTTGTACCATAACGCTATAAGAGCGTTAAACCTAACAGTCCAAGTTAACAATGTCCTCCTGCTGTTATATGTGTAGATATGTGTATAATTGTCATGTATATGTGTACTATGTGTAGTTTGTGTGTAGCATTCATGTCGAAGGTGCTCTTTGTACAGACTGTGAAAACAAATGTCCTCCACTGAGGACAATAAAAAATTAATCTGAATCTGTTAGTTAATTAACACTCCTGCATTCACCTTCCACAGCCATTCGCTCCCTGAGTTCCTGCTGCAGTCGGCTCTGTCGGTCCTCCAGCTCCAGCTCTCTGGCACTGGGGGAAAGAAAGAAAGAAAAACAGATGGAAGAGCTAAGTTTGTTTCAGTGTTGAATTTATAGCTTTCAACATTTTGGTTTTTTGGCTGTATTTTCATTTATCTAAAGAAAGATGAATAGTTCATTTAATTGCCTTTAGTAACTGATCACGAGAGAACAATGGATCATTTAATGACTTGTCAGAATGTCAAGTTGTTTCCCTACTTGGACTGTAAATGTGATTACATATGATATCATATTAATATGCTGAAAAATGATTATGACTTCATAGGTGCTAACAGTGATTACAAACTCATGATGTAATATTAATAATAATCATAAAAATAAGGAGGTAAGTCAGTATTATTTTATCAATGTTATAGTTTATAATTGCCTGTACTTGATGAAATATTATTACATCATCAGGGAATTTATAACAGGCATTACAGGTTTAATTATATGTCCTGTCAGGCTAGTGCAGTTTCTCTAGGGTCATTCATTGCTCTCTTTTAGTTCAGAGTGAAATATCTCAGTAACTACTGCAGACATTTATGGTCCCAGGAATCATTCCTCATGACTTTGGTGATCCCTTGACGTGTCCCTATAGCGCCAACCACAGGTGAAATGTTTTACTTGGCCCTAGACTAGAGTTCAAAGGAGAATACCTTTAAAATGAACCACCCAATTTTGCTAAACTCTGAATAGTTGTAATTCAGAAATCCAGAAATTGTTATTCGATACAAACACATTTACCCACATGAGAATCTAAAAAATACAATGAATCATTTCCAACTAGCTGCTTGGGGACTGGGGAGTTGGCATAGCAACCAATAACCTAAGCAATGCTTCTTCAAAATGAAAAGCACCTTTGACGAATCAGTTCCCCAACTGGCTTATCCATCTTCGAGTAGTGTACTTACAATATCATGAGTTCTGACTCATAGCGGACCAAGGCATTTTTCTCCTGCACCAGCTTGAACCATTCTTGCATTAGCTTGGGATCGTCCTTCTTGCCCATGCCTGGAGGAGAGGGGAAGCACACAGTGGGAGTAAGAGACCAGACGGCTGGGAGATGACACTGACTGATGTCACACAGACAAGGACTGACACAGGCAATGCAATGACAGCCAAGCCAGGATGTCCTCGCTGAGGGATGGTGAGGTGGAAGGATGGACTCGACACCAACGTGGTCAGTCACGCCATACTTAAAAGATGGCACACAGAAGATGGCGTGGAGCTACTGTAACAGGTTTCAACTTTGGCAAGTGCATACACACACACATCCCACACACACGCTCAAACAGACAGTACCTGTTGTTGCAAAGTTGAGAGTTTGTGTTACCCAGTTTGGATTTTGTGTGAGATGTAGCTGCTCTTTGGGAGCAACTACCTCCCCTCTATCAGTTTTTTTATTTTTTCCGAGTGGGTGGGTAATGAGAAAAAACACAAACACACCAATCAGTAGCTAAGATATTGCAGAGCAGTAAACCCAAGGACTTATGGAAATCCTTCATCCTCCCATGCCCACATATTGATCCACCAGTAGAAATAAAATCATTTTCAGATCCCATTCATGCTGAGCAGTGTGAGGGTAAACGAAAAAATGCTTGAAATATTCCGCTGTCTTTACATATTCAATTACAAGGTCAAATATTCATGGGATGACTTATCATTGAGACCAATAACGAAGTGCACACTCTCTCTGCCTCGGGGTAGAGCGTGTCCGAGTGCTGCTGGCATCATGCATTGTAGTTGTGCAATTTTTATAATCAGCACAATCAGTCAGAGCGCGGAACAGCTGCACACCTCTCCCTGCTAGAAGAGGTGACCAGTCTACGAGGCATGCTTAGAAAGGTCTGCTGCTGGGGCGATGCATCCTTTTCATTTATCTGACTGCAGCAGGTGGAGCCAAGCGGTTTCAATGAAACACCTGAAGGCAAACCTCAATGCAGCGTGACATACTTAGCTGGGGAACAGGAGGCTCTTGCAAAATGGAAAGGAAAAACATTGTACACACATAAATCGCATGGTTGTGGTCTTGGGGGCTGGTTTTTGCTAATTAACAGAAAAGGGACAGAGAGGCAAAGCTGGAAGAGAGCTGCACACACTGGCGAGGAATACAACATGTGGAGACAAAGGAGGAATTATAAAAGCAGGGCTGAGTTTCCAAACCTATTCTGTTAATGCGTGTTTTTCCCTTTCCTCCTACACTATTTCAACCTGTTCCACCGCCACCAACCCTCAGCCCAAGGCTCCGAACACAAAAGAAAGGAAGAACCACCAGTACAGGGCAGAAACAGCAATAAAAGGAACAAGAAATCAGATCGCACACAAACACAAAAACATGTTTCTTAGTTTCTTCACGGATTAGAAGCTCAGGCAAAATTTCCACTCACATGTGTTAGATGCGGGAACAAACCAGATGATCCATAAATGTTTTAACACTTGTTTTGTGTAAGACTTTAATATTTATAACAAATCATCACACCATGCAAGTTTCCCACTCCTTGAACCACAAACTTGCCCGCGAGCTAGCCACGTGCCAGGTGTTCACCGCTCGGGTTTATTATCATTTAATGATTACATGACAATTTAAACTTTAATTCAAATGGTAAGAGGCAAAATTCCTAAAAAACAACTCCAAAAATGGACACTGCAACGGACTATGCAGCTTTACGATTCATTTTAGCTAAACAGAAAACATGCTGTTGATTAAAGACACACTGCAGCAGAGTAGTTTCCCCTTTGAGTGAATGCAGCTACTTAGAAAAACAGGGAAATAGATATTTTCCCCACCTCCATAATCTGAAACACTGTGCTTGACAGAATATTACAATTGCATTACTGCAACACAGTATATGCATCAGTATGTATTCTGCTGATCTAACTGGGGGTTTTCTTCCTAAGCTACAACTGACCATTATTAAATCCTGTCCCCAAACAGTGACTGGCTAATCACATTTTAGCAACTGTAACTAGGCACAGCGGCAAGTGTAATCAGATTGGACTGATGAAAAAGTAGGCCAATCAAAGCCTAGAAACATTAGCATGCCCAGCTAAGTAGCTTATTACTTAAAAATAATTGAATCTTTTCCTAAGTCAAGGGGCAATTTTCATAAGCTAACTACATCATTTTGAGGGATTCCAGGTTACCCCTAAAAATCCCTGTTGAGGCCTGGAACATCAATCGGAGCCAAGGTGCCAGTATCCTATTAGAGTGTAAAGTAACATTATTGGCATTAGCTTCTTATTTGGTTTAAATCTACATAAATTAACTCTGTGTGCTGTGATGGTAAGCAAATATTACAAAAACAATCAACTGACCAGTACCTTTAACAGCATACATTCTGACGCAGTGATAAAAATTGTGATGAAATTAATATCTGGAGCGTTTTTGATTAATTTCCTCATGATCAATGCCTAAATACTCAGAGTTTTGGGAACATGTCTGGGGAAATCTACTGAGCCTGATCACACACAAATGGCGAGGACAGGAAGAGGAGGAGGACCGGTTGGGAGGATGATGGGGAGGGGCGCAATGGGGATAGCCCGGTTCTGGAGATCCATACGGTTGCCATGGTAACCCGCCACAACCGTCAGCAGAGGCGGCGAGGTTACGTTACCTTCGGGGGAACAGCAGGGGCAGAAGGAGAGAGGTCTTCGGCGTGGCATCCCCACAAAGGGCTCAACTTCCACAAGACAGAGGGAAAGAGTGTGAGGGAGTGACGTAAAGGGATGAACGGTGGGTGAGAGAGAAATAATGTTGGAAATAATGCAGGAGGAAGAGCAGAGATATCACAGAGAAAGAAAAACAGAAGAGGACACATAGTGTGGGTGGAGGGGGAAGGAGAAGGGTGAGGAGGAGAAAGAGGAGAGTGATGAGTGAGAAAGAACATCGAGGAGAAAATCAAAAGAGGGCAGGACCACTGTGAAAGGGAGAGGACAAATCACCTAGAGAAAGGAGGTGGGAGAGATAAGCTGTGTGGTGTGAGGGATGAAAAAAGGGGTAAAAATAGGAAACTGAAACAAGAGCAGACAGAAAACTTGGAGCACAGAAAGGGAAAATAATCCTCCTGTTTGATCCTGCATCTGTAGTTCTTCAGATAATCTTCAGTTAGGCAACAGCACCCTATGGCAGCTGAAATAGCGAATAGCCTACACATATGGCCAGTGTTTATCACAGTACACAAAATGATTTAATCCCATTATTAAAGCCATTACTGATCACCAGGAGATCCATCTCCCTCACAGATGCAGATAATTGCTTCTTCTTTTAAGATGTTTCAGCCTGTCCTTGTAAACACTACTTGAACGTGTTTAGACCACCCGGCACAATTTGTTACCAGCGTGGTGACTTTTGAAGTTGAGCTACTTTTGAAGTGCAAATTAGGACGCCAGCTAAACAGATTTCTCACAAAAGTAAGATCTTTGATGATGGATGCTACCCCAATAAACCCCAGAATAAAGATTCTAAAATAAGTGTAAAATAAAGGGATGCAGATAACTGGGGGAAACAGTTTGTATCATTACATGACACAACTAGGAGGCAGACACAGGCTCTGTTTACACCTGGCACTAATATGCATCTTGGATGATCCAGTCACAAGTGGACAGCTCTAAGTACATCAGTTGATACTTTGCATTAGAATGCGTCTCGAGTGACCCTTTGTGATCAGGTTTCACTACCCAAATGCGTTGTTTTTTTAGTGGTGGGAGGCAGAAATGCCCTTCCTGTCCCTAGTCTGCCGGAAATTAAGAATTAAGAAGAAGCAGAAGAAGGAGTAGTTTGATGTTAATAATCCAGTTTTCGTTACTCCAACTCTTCAGCCCAAATGAAAATCAGACAGCGTGTTTATTGTGTACCCCATCCATAAAACTCTGTATTACCTGATGTTGTAGCTTCTTCTTGTTGCTTAGCTCTTTAATAAGACTCCATTGATGCACATATGAGTACGTATGTCCGTTTACGCAGAGGATGTCAGTTGAGTCGCTGTTCCTTTAGTGTGATCCAGGACATATTTGCGTATACACTGCTAAAAGAATGTGGCCATATGCGTACCAAGACCATCTCCGAAGCGATCGGATGGCAATGCATCTTGGGTGCATTCACACACTTGGAGCTGTCAACTTGTGATTGGATCACCCATGATTCACGTTAATGTCAGGTGTAAACAGGGCCACAGTGTTCTCAGGCTGGTGGATAAAGGGGCTGGGAGAGTGAAATCCCAGATAAGTACAACAAGGGACTATCACAGAAAAGGAAAAGTACAATTCTGTTAGGAAAACTGCAGTTTAGATGTGTCCTAATACATTTTTTATAGCTCTGACAAATCAAATCAAGTCATGCAAATATGGTTATGAAATAGATAGAAATGCAGCGTGAGCACTTAACAGTAAACCAGTAAATCCTAAAATCCTTAATTGTATAATCAGTGAAGTAGAGGATTGAAATGATAAGAAAAATTTGATCAAGCAGGGTACAAAGTTACTGATGCTGGCTTTAGTTTTGGTGCCCCCTGCAGGGCTCAAATACAGCCCTGCTGAGCAAATATACACTTTACAGCCTAGTATTCAGTCAAAATGCTACAATTACCCATCACGGTGAAACACGATAAGTATAGAGAAGAAAGGATTAATAGAAAGCTTTCAGCAGGCAGGAATCCTCCTCTATAACACATTCAGAACACTACAGACGCACCAGATCCAGTTACAAAGATTCAAAGTTTTTAGCATTTACACATACTACATGGAATGAACTGCCTGCATCAACTCAGAAATATGAAAACAAGTTGGATTTGAGCCGATGAAACCTCATGCCCCTGTAAGAACCCTGGTGGACCCGTTACATTGGAAAACCTTTGTGTGCGTATATTCATCTTTACATCGGAACTCCACGCAATCTCCCGTCTGATGAGTGACAAAAACCAGCAGGACAAAACCACAGAGAAACACAGGCCCATGCTCAAACATGTGGAAATGCACTTTTTTCTCAATCCTGAAACATTGCTTTCTAACAAAAGCCGGCTTCCTTCCCTGCAGATGTCAGGAGGAAAAAAGATGCATTCCACTCATATTTAAACAAAGTCCAACAGCCAACAAGATAACAGATACCACGAGACGTCTCACCCAGACACGGTGGAAACTTATTGTTGACTAATCACAGTTAGACATAGAAGGGCAAAGGGTCGCAACATTGCCTATTAGCACACACACACACACACACACGCACACACTCGGGGAGTTATGCAACTGAGCAGGTATGAGAAAGTCAGGGGAGCCATTGCTGGGACTAGAGGACAGAACTACAGCAGCACAGAGCTCTGAGGGGAAGCTAACAGCCATGCCAGCAGTTTAGTGTGAGTCAGTCCAGGGCAGGTTATACAATACTTTCATAGTCTATTTGTGTGTGTGTGTGTTGGGGAGGGGGTTCTGTGTTTGTAAATGTGTGCACACTGCACAACATGTGTCCAATTTGTATGGTGATACAAATGATAAGGTATGATGATGTACTTCTCCTTCATTTCGGATATTTTTAGTAGAACACAAATTGGAATATCAAAATTGAAATACGGTGTAATACAATTAGAGAGACAAACAGGTCCATATATACAATAATACCCCAGTTGTTCTTTGTAATAATTAATTTTAAGAATAAGGTGGTGTTGTTACAAATTCCATTAAAAGACAAAAACCAATAGTGTGTTTGTCTGTCTCTACACATTTCTTTTCTTCTCTGCCCTGTCTGTATCTCAAGCCCATTGACTTCTACTAAAGATGAACACTTGAAAAAGCTGGTCACAAGTATATAAATATATTTTTAAATTTTTTAAAACATAAAATTCATTCCTAAACCAGCTGGTCTCTGTAGTCTTCTAGCAAACATTACAGAAACAAAGTAAGTATTTGTTGGGTACTATTTTCGGCTGTGGAATCATACACATTTAATGCTCTAGGTTATAGCAGCAGGACAGAGTAAAAGTGATTGACTTAAGCTAAACTACAGTGCCTCTGTGTTCACTCAGGGCAACAAAATATATTGCACTGATCGAAGTTATATAAGGCTTCAATTTGCACACACAGTATTGGTTAGTAGGACCAGTTCAGTGTTGGTTATAGCTTTTTCAGGGGATTTGCTCAAATAAATACAGAATTTCACCAGACTTAATCTTTAAATCAGAATCCAACTTTTACACTTTTTTCCTATCTCAACCATCATGCTGCTCCTTTTTATGATTTTGGTTAACAAATGATGAACTACTTTTATCAAAAACTATATATTAATGAACATGTAAAGGAATCTTTAATGAGCATTGGCTCTATGTAGTATTTTCATTGTCTATTCTTCATTTTGTTGTCTCTGTTGGAGCGGTCCTCAGTGTTTCTGTGCACAGTGTGTCTTTGAAAGCAAGAATGTATACTGCTGTTTGGATTTCAGTCTCTGCAATATGTTGCTGTTTGTATCTCTACTGCAGTTTGCATTGTGCAGTTAGCATGCTGAGGAGTGACAAATAAAAGTTACTCATTAATTCATTCATTTATCATTCATAAGTTTACTGAGATCAAAGACGATCTTAAGAGGACAGCATGAGGCCGAGTGTCTGATCTCTGTTTGATGTAAAGAGTGTCTGAACTAGAAACCCAGGCTGGTGGGAGAAGGAAGGAGGGAGTTGGGGAGTTAAAGGAGCAGAAAGTATTGCAATGAGGCTAACAGCCAGCCAGCTAGCAAATCAGCCAGCCAGCCAGTCAGCCAGCCAATCAAGGTAGATATGAGGGGGTACAAAGCTCAAGTAGTTTAAAAAAGGGGGTAAAGGACAGATTGGGTTAGCCATTAGGTTAGTTTAAAGCGACAGATTTGAAATACATACCGCCCAGATGCAAGTCCAGGATTTCACTGTAATTAGAATCTCCCCAATAGTCTATAATGACAGGGATATATTAGAGATAGGAGTTATTTTACACAGCCCCAAACTGGGCACACAAACACACACAAAATTCTCCAACAACAGCAAGTCATGCATGTACTTGCAAACATGTTCGTACACACACAGACACACACTGCAGCAACACTCAGAACAAAGAGAGTCCATCAGTACTCACCACAGTGCATAATGCAGTCAGGTTGTGCAATGCTACATGGCATTTCCCAAAATAATAAGAGACTGCAACATAGATTTGCTGTATTGCTGTTTACTGGCTCAGTCTGCTTAATGTCACACAAAGCCTCTAGTAATGTGTTGTGTGCTGACATGTCGAGGAAATCATTATTTTTGTACTGCATTTAATTTGACAAAATAAACAAGCTTTAATTTTCTCCAGTTCCATAAAATTCCAATCCATGTGCCACAGTGTCAGATTGCAATAATTGAATGATTTAATACGTTATCCTTTCAGACTGAGCAGCTGAGTGTTTAGTGAGACTTTTGAGATGAGAACAGATAAAGTCAGAAACAACTCTGGATTGCTGTTACTTATTCACTAAAGTGAAAAAAGATAGTAATAAGATCTCTGCATCAAGTCAACTCAGCCGCAGTAAATATTTGCAGAAGATATTTTAATAAAGAAGCTGTCAGCCTGCAAACCAATTTATATTTGATTTCCTACATTCTGATTGCTTTTATAAAGTCTGAGTCTTGATCAGAGTACAGAAACTCTCCTCATTGAGAGGCAGTGAAGGAGACAAAAACACATCCAGAATGAGCACACACAAATCTATGTCGGGGACACACATTCTCCTGATCGCATGCAGCCAGGACTGGCGATGGCGGACATGTTATGAACGAACAAAGACCAACATCTTCAGACATGGAGAACTGTTGCAGTGTGTCACCACAGATGGAGCCTACATAACAGTGTCACATGTCATTAATAAAAAATAAAAAGGAAACTACAGTAAATCTAATACCTGATCTTCTTTTGTGCTGTTTGGGTAATGTATAAGTACCTTTATACAATCCTTTAAGAGAGTAGAGTAGTAAACAAGTTAAAACATAAACAATTGACTGGAGAGACAGCTGATGGAAAAGTTATTATTCTGTTGATGGGAAAATGGCCGAATTCAAGAGAATGTTCATCTGCGTGTATTCATTTGCATAATACAAGCTTTTATTTAAATTCTGTTATCGTCCCCATTAAGAAAATTAGGAGGGAAATTGAATACACTGTCAACTGTATATAGGATAACCTCAGTACCTTACTCGCATACAAAACTCACATCATGTAAATAATGTGTTATTGCTACGGAGCGCTCGCCATGCTTCACACGCTTATAAAACTGTACCGAATAATGAACTGCGCTGCTCCCCTAACAAATAATGTATTCTTCATCTTGGAAGTATATTGTCTGTGATAGTCCCTTGTCAAGAACAATTTGCGTTTATTACTTTGGAGAAACAAATGTGACTTTCTGCACACAAATTTACATGCTGAAATGGGCTTCAGTACAGCAGAATAAACAGTAAATGCAATCTAAATGATCGGAGAGGGACAGCTTTTCTGAGGTAATGCAATTCCAGGGTTACGTCATCCTAATCATCGATATTATTATTATTCCCTTCAGCTTTAGAAAAGGCTGAACTCATCTCATATAAAGATAAAACATGGTCTCAGAGAGGCAGCGCTGACAGAAAAACAAGATTTAATTGTCATACGTACAGTAAATCACTTGTAAAATGTTAATAATACCAGAGTTATGTGTTATGAAACGTACTACACCCCTAAATTCACTGAATACAGGCATTACGTCTATCTGCAGTAGCTTTACTGATAGACCACGGCACATGAGATGGCCAGATTGATTTGATCAAAGAAAAATTTATTAAGGTATAAGTGACAAGCGGTTACCTGCTTCTCCTCTCAACGCTTTCTCCACAGCTACGCCTCTCTCCTCCAGCTGCCTCTGCTTCTCCTCCACCTGCTCCAACTGTCTCTGGATGATCTGAAAGGACATGCCGATTAGAGTCACATTATTAATGAAACATAAACACAGAGGCGCGGTTCCAATATAAACAACTTCAGTTATCACACATGGGCGCACAGAATACTAACATCTACATTCCTCTAATTACAATTCATTTGTCCCAAAAGTTTGTAAGGGAGGTGACTGCAGAGGTTGCAGTTTACCCTCATTAAAAATAAATGTCCCAGGGCGCAGTGGGAGTACTGCTAATTATAATTGAATTGATGTCTACATGTACGTGAGCCTGTTCTGATGGACGAATATTATTTCAAGATTTTCACACACACACACACACACACACACACACACACACAAAAAATTTACATTTCATAGTTCTCTGCTCTTTGACCTACACCCCATGGAATAGGGGGCAATGATAGAGGGGATGCAGCAAAATCGAAATCAGTTTCTATTAATGCTTTATCTTAATCCCTGGATCATGAATATCTTGTGTTAATGGCTCTGTTATTGGAGGCCACAGAGCCAAGTGAAACTGCAGGTACAACAAGTCAAAATTACACTTCCACTACCTCTACCTGCTTTTAAAATGGAATGCTATAAAAAATGAGTACAAAACAGAATAATATAATTACATTAGAACTTAAACCCTTAAAGAATCATTTTTATCATAATTCAGTCTAATTAAATTAATAATTGCAGTCATTTTCTGTTATGACCCTCTGTACAGTTAATTGCGCAATAAATTAAGATGTCTTCAAGTGACACATGTAAAACCAGCTCAAACTAGTGTGAATGGGTTGTGCATGTCTTTAAATTACCATTTTTGTGCCCCATGTTTATTGTTGTGTTATATACAGTAGATGTATGATATGTGGGATTTTATTGGGCTGAATATAATTGTGCTCATTCTGATTAATGACAGTTGGTTCAATGTGGGCAAAGTAATGCAAGGGGGAGAATGAGAGATGTATAAAATGAGCGGAAACAGCTTCATTTAAAAGTTTTCTTTTTCCCTCAGCCTCTAACTTCCTAAGTGCTGAACTTTATCAGTGCCACGCAGCCAGAAAAGCTAATCAAGAAACACGGTTTGGGTTCTGCAAATAGCCACTAAAAAAGGAAGCAAAAAAATTCAGGCCAGCTAACCACAGCTCCAGGAGAAGAGATTTTAGCTGTGGCTTAGTGCTGAGTCAGTGGACTGGGTGCCTGGCTGCAGAGTTACAACATCAATCACAGTGGATTTCCTAACCAAAGGATGAATCTGGCCGCACTCCAAGAGGGTTGAGTCACATTAGAGTGACCATATGGTAAGTAAAAAAACAACAGGACAACACTGGGTAACAGTGACAAGAATACTGATGTAACCTATCTGTAGTATACAACTAACAATACAGACATATACATAGATAGCCCAGTTCATTTTTAAACTATTTGACAATCATGACACAAAAAACTGTCTCATCTTTGATGAAAACACACTTGTGTAACTGTTTGAAAGAGCTATTCAAGCACACAAACACTGCTAGGAAACCAAACCAAAACAAACTTAATTACATTGTTCACCATGTTCACCATTTTAGATTAGTGTCCACGCTTGCTGACATTTGCTAAGTATTGAATAAGCTAAAAATTTGTCCTGATGATGGTGTTAAATGAAACATTAGGTGAGAAATATGACAATTCATTGACAGGAAAACATGAACTAAATGTCATGGCAATCCATCCAATAGTTGCAAAGATCTTTCAATCAAAAACACAAATGTCCACCTCAAGGTGGCGATGGAGGATAACGTTCAGTTACCTGGGCTCTGTGCAGCCTCTTGAGTTCCTCCTGCTTGGCTTGTCGTCGTGCAGCTTTCTGGACCCGTCGTGTCAGTTTGGCATTCAGCTCTTCTTCTGTGTAGGTTTTCTGGTGTAAAAGCAAAAAACATGGGTCAGGTAAGTCTCATTCACAAGCTGCTAATATGTGGACTCCAAGGGACCCTTGCCCTTTCATGGAAACTGAACACAAGAGGAGGGGGGAAACTCTGATTAGACCTTTTAGAAGGTGAGGGACAACACTGACTAGCACAATGTACTCTAGCTTGGGATATTTAAAACTTCACCACACATCTACAGGCTTCTCTATAACATAAACCATCTTGGAACACAATGTGACACATATATCAACTTCACTGCGGCTCTCACGGTTATAATCCCTCTTCATATTATGACATATTCCATAATGACAGGCAATGCAGAATGTGAATAAGCAGGGATGCTTTTCTTATTAGCTGACTTGTGAGGACATAAAAAGCTGGCATAAATCAGGAGAAAGAGAGAATAGTGCTGAGGAAAAAAACAGTCAAAGTTAATCCAGTAGCCAGACTGGAGGAAAAACAGTGCCACAGTGACAGATAGGCAGGTTTAATATAAGACCAGTCAGAGAGGAACAGCCCCTGATATGTCAAGTGATGCAGAGGTATCATTGTGACGAGAAAAAAGCGAGCCATGAGAGTCATGTTTTGACAGAGTGGATATCCAGCAGTGAGTGAGTGGGCGCTGCGGTCAGACGCACATGCATCCAGAGAGGACGGTTAGTTTTAGGCCAGATGCACATAAAGTGTTATTACTGGCACATGCGCACACGGCTGGGGATGGGAGTGGTGGGGTTATCAATGGGAACGTATGTAATACTACCTTTGTGGCGTACGATCTCTTGAACGCCAGTGCGTGAGGGACATAAACAGACTTGGGGAAGACAAAACAAAAAGGGAGGAAACAAACATGATACAGATGATATGATTAAATGGGTTAATGATTATGTTAAATTAAATAAAAAATTTTAAAAAAGTAATAATTTAGCTGGTACAATCAAACAGGCAATGTTAATATCCCACACCAAAACAAAAAAATGGCAGGGTGCAATGACATTTTATACATCTATGTTAATCAGACATTAGTCCAACAAAGCAACAATTACAAATCGTATTACAATAAAACAGATTTTCCAGATTCTAAGACCAAGGATTTCAGAGACCTGTCTTACCCTAAAGCAGTAAGACAGATTGATGATTTTCAATACTAGGTCTACAATGATCTCTATGATAATAAATCTAACACACTCACATATCTGGAAAACTATGAACACACAACAGTCACTTGAGACTAGTCTACACCAATCCTGTGTGCTCTTATTAAATTAAACTCGGCCTGGCAGGCATAATACAGCTTCAACCTCCTGGGTACTGTAGCTGCATAAAGTCCAAATTCAGATTGATGTGACTGAAGCATAATAACAAAATGTCATTTTATTCTTCATATACATCGTCAAAATGAGAAGAAAACAAAATGGGAGTTTCTTAAATGTGTTTACAATGGGTAATGAATTCATGCCTCTGGCCCTGAACTCAACTGTATCTATCTAAACCACCAGAAACACACACACAGACTGAGCAGCAGCGGAGAAAATTATTTTGAATTTCAGCCTAACATAATGAATGCAAATGGTTTTTTTTAAAAAAAAAAAACTCCTATTATAAAAATGTGGGTTTTGTTTGCTGAATGTCTGCATGGTCCTAATAAGATCCATGCCACCTGCATATTTAATGAATCCAGACTTCTGAAGAATTCACTCGTTTTGCAATTTTGCCAATGGATATCATTATGATGATGAAGCATTTAACATGGCATATTGTTGCGCTGAAGACCTTGACAATGTGTTTTTGTCATGATTTGGTTGCATGATTTGTTTTGATCATCTGATCTCGGAACAAATCATGCCTGACCTGATTATGTTGATATGAAATTCAAAATCATTTAACCCCGCTCTGCACAATACCTCCTCATCGCCTTTCTCCTTTTCTCGATCCACCTTCTTTCCCAGCTCTCTTTCTTTATGCCTCTCTTTCACCCTCTTTCTTTCCTTTAACTCCCTCCTTTTCTCCTTCTCCAGTTTCTCCTCCTTTATCGCTTCCTTCTGCATGCCTGACACTAGGTCAAAGATGTCCGTGTGCCGCTGGGAGTGAAAGAAATTATTTAAGGGATTTTTTAAGTAAAACAGAAATGGACGATCAATAGATGAGGACACGTCTTGCCTCGCTAAAACTAGAACACCAAGGTCAAAAACTGTTCAGAATATTGAAAAGTGATGAGTCACATCCTCATCCAAACCACTCCTTGGACTTTGCTGACTGGTCCGGATCTGAGCATCTGGTCTCCACTGATTGTCAGCAGATTTTCTGAAGACTAAAATGTCTTATCAAAAACGAAGCTGTACATGACAAAGATGTGACGAGTGTAATTGCGTCTATTGTTACTCACATCTGCCTTCGACTTCTGGGAGGACCTTTCCAGAACATCATCACAGGACAGGTCTGAGTCCTCAGAGAAGCTCAAGTTTCTGCGTGATTTCAAGTCTGTAATAAACAAATCAAGAAATGTGTCATTTCTTTCTATAAATATGACAAATATCACATTCAAAAACTGCACCGGATCGCCTTTCTTACCTGATGATCTCCCAAGAGGTGACGTTCTCTTCTTCCCAGAGTCCTGAGTGGTGGAACTCGAGGATGGCGTGCTCGGACATGATTTATCATCCTTCTTCTTTTTGTCCTTTTTGTACCCTGAGAAGACGGCCTTCCACAGTGACTTGTGTTTGGGAGGTGTCTCGTCTGTGCCGGAGAGCCTGCTGCTGTCGTTCTTGGCTTTCTTCTCCTTCTTATTCTTGCGCGGCGAGAAGAGGGAACTTCGTTTCTTGCTCTTACTCGTCGTGGATCCATCTGACGAAGCCACCGAGCTGTCCAGACTCTTGTTGCTGCTGAAGAAACGCTCAGGTAAAGTCTCCGCCTTCTTCGACTCCAGAGCTTTCACGGCTGATGTCTTCGGAGATCCGGCAGACTTTTTACTTTTTCCAGCAGCCTCTGGAGTTACACTCCAGGCCACTTTAGGTGAGGCACCCTTGTCGATGTCAGATTCTTTCATTTTGTTTAGCTGCTTGGCCATGGCGTCTTTCAGAGCCTGGCTCTTGACGGACTTTTCTCTGGCCCGTATTCTCTCCTCAGCGATCTCCTTGGCCTCTGGGGAAAACTGAGTAGCCCTTTGCGTCTTAGAGGCTGGGTTGACAGGGATATTGGGTTTACCATTTTCCATTGCTAAAGCCAGATGCAGGGGCGGTCTTTCTCTGCTGGCCTTGCTGGTGGGTGGAGTATAGAACTTGTTCATGCTCGTTTCGGGTGTCCGCTCATCGTAGGTCTCCTCGACGTCATCAGCAAACGGAATCTCTTCCACTGTCTCCACAAACGACTTCCTCACCTCCTCCGGCCGTGGCTTCTTCTTTTTCTCCCTCATGACAACTACTGGAGTTGTGTCTGGAGCTGCCTGAGGTGAGGAGACTTTCCTAGGTGCGGGTTTGGGGGCAGACACAGGGCTCAGCTGGGTCCTCGGTGCAGGAACAGGACTCTTTATTTTTGCTGGCTCTTTGGCACGCTCAGGTGGAGCTTTTTCCGCTCCATTGCTCCAGGACACCTGGTGTCTCTGCTGCCGGAGCACGGCTGGAGACTGATTAGCAGGCACAGGTGGTGGTGGGCTAGAGGGCGGGGTGAGCATGGTGGAGTCGGAAGTGTTGTAGCTGTCACTGTTTGCTGTCTGGCTCGTGGCCATGCTCCCATTCAACCCCAAGCCAGAGCTGCTGCTGAGGTCCCTCTTATCAGAGCCATTACTCTTGGGCTCCGCAGGAGCAATGGGCGTAATGACCTGACCCTCGAGAGTGATGTTGAGTCTGCGAATGACAGCGCGGCCTGTAAAAGCAGGCTTCTGTTCCTCAGGCACATCTGGAGTCTGCGTCTTGACAGGCGTGGAGTCCTGCGCTGGAGCTTTAACAACACTCTTCTCTAAGATCTTACTACTGCGGTCCAAAGGAGTCAGACCGAGGCTCTTCCTGATCTCAGCACTCTTTAACCAAAATTCCTCAATGATATCTGTCTTTTTAGATGGTGTTTCCTCTGTTGAGGAATCTATGGACCTTGGCGGCTCAGGTGTGCCCTTGTCTGTTTTGGTCATGGGCGTCGAAGTGACTCCGGGGACAGGCTGAGTTCTGACAGGGGAGTCGGAGGTGAGGGGTGACGAGGGCTCCTGGCAGGGCAAGGGCTGAGCACAGATTGGGGAGAGGGGGTTGCCCGTGAGAGGGCAAATAGAGCGCTGAGGATAAACAGGAGTTATAGGTGTGCAAGTCTCTGGTAGGGGGGTGGGCTGAGAGCGGATTGGGGAGCCAACCGGTGACTTGACAGGGGATCTGATGGGTGATCTAACAGGTGACTCTGTGGCTAGCTTGACTGGAGAGCTGATGGGCGATTTGGTGGTTGAACAAGGGGGCGGTGAGGCAGGGACAGTGACAGGAGACGCAGCAGCAGGAAGAGTAGGGGAAGGGACAGAGGAAGGATCCTGGACTTGGACAGGTGAAGGGCATGGTGGGCTCTTGACAGCTGGAGAAGGAGATGGAGTTGTCCTCTCAGGCTTCGTTTCCTCAGGTATGAACGGTTCTGGGAAAAAACGGGTGGTGCCAGGAGACTTCACCACAGTTATCTGGAAAAGAAACAGAAGATCAGGATTTGGTCAAAACTAACATAACATACTTTTAACTTGAGATGTGTGGACTTATCTCACCTGTGTTTCAGGCTCTGGAGATGGTTTGAGTGGAGAAAGAACATCTTCTCTCTGCATGGGGCTGACACTGGATGGCACTGAATGCACAAACAACAAAAAAAGGTTTTTTTATTCATGTAAAAAAAAAAAAAATCTAAGTCATGAATTTAGAGGATTATTAGTGGCATGTACCAGTACTGGAGGTCATTTTCAGACTTTCTGATTTCTTGTCTTCCTCAGGAAGAACTTCAGCGCGCTCTGGCTCATGCAACCGAGCCTCGGCTTCGGCATCTGAAGGGATGTCATCTGGAATTTAAAGATAACATTATGTTATATTAAACTTTATTTATTTATATCCTTTTACTGTAATGGAGCAGAGTTGAGCCTGAACCAAAAATGCTGTGAAAGGATTGATGGATTCATTATTATTTGTGTAAGTCTGACAGCTCACCCTGATCCATCTCTGTGCCAGGCTCCATATCTGGACTATCTGCTTCTGCTTCCAGTTCCTCATCCTCACAAGGTTCTGGCATGACAAAGAAAAAGCAAAAACAAATTAGTCACCTGCTTAAACATTCTGTCTTCTGTCAATAACTGTGTGGGAACATTCACTGCACTTTTCTCAGAAATTCTGACTGCAGGCTAATATTTATTTTTAAAAAGAGCACCAGAGTTCCAAGATTATTTAATGAAAAAATCTATCAAAACCAATTTTGAAGAGTGGAGAACAGTTATAGGGAAAAAGGAATGTTTGAAAAAGGATGAAAAGGCTTCAAAACCCAAATCCTTTTTTTCTGAGGACAGCTTTAAAGAAAGTTCTCTGGCAAGAAAATCATACATTAGTTTTGCATACCAATGAAATCGTGTAGAGAAGGTCTGTCAATAAATATGAACAAAGGGCGGGCGCAGAGTAGCATTAGTAAAAAGGTACATGCAGCTCTCTGTTTTTTAAATAGCAAATGATTGACATTTGACCCAAGCAAAAGCAAAACCAAAATGTTAATGACATTGGTTAAAGGACGAGCAGCAGTCCCTCGTGTACACAAGAGAGACAATTTGTCTAACAAAACTAACAACAGGGATGACACTCACAGTTAATTCATGCAATTTTGAACTAATCTCATAACCTTAAAAGTCAACTAATGCACTCAGTTGGCCCGTTGTTCAGGTGGGTGCACAGGCACATACTGACAGAACATCAGATTCTAGTGGGTCTGAGCACAAGGACATCTTTACTAAGCTTTTAACCCAGAACTCAACTGCTGCCTACAAAATCAAATGTATGCGTAGGACTCTCATTCCATTCATTCAAGTTTTTAAACAGTTTATAAAGTACCTCAACAGCCTCATTATCTGAACTTTGTGCAAGTACGAGTGCCATTAAAGGGCTAGTCCAGAAATGTGACAACAGTAAGCAATTTCCAAGTGAAATGTCTAACGCATTAGGGTTAACACTGTGGTGTTTTCTGTCTCTGGAATACATTACACTGCAGTACAATACACTATGTGAGTAAAAACAAAATACATTTTTTTAAAGTTAGAAGGGTTGGATGAGAGTTTGGGTGAAGTGAAAGGTGACCCCAAGAGAGCAGAACTCTTGAGAGACGCAGCCTTACAGCATGCAAGCTTGTGAGTTTACTGGTCTCTGCATGTGTTTCTGCATGCTCCAGGAAAATACCAGCGATAGACAGGTAGAGTACGAGTCTAAGATGGGATGTCATGATCCCTTTTAAGTCTGTGCTACCTCCAGACATGGACTCCAACCAGACTCTCACTGCCTCGTGTCGGGTGGATGTGTGGGCAGGGGCTACGTTCAAACCAGAAGATACAGAACAACAGGGGATAGATGGCAGGGAAATAACAGTAAAGTAAATTAGACACATGGGAAAGAACATAGCAGAACACAAAAGAACAAAGCAGAACAAACTCAAAAGAATTGACAAGGGGGTTATATGGTGCACTGGGATGTAGCTGAATTCACTCCAGAGGACCCACAGCGACTCTGAACGACAAATTAAAAGACTGAACACAAAATTAGACATTCCAAAGAGGGAAGGAAAAAAAAGCAATATGACAAAAATGTACAAAATCAAAGATGATTATAAACAACAGGTGGGTTAGTTGGGGGAGGTGGCTCCTCCTGTCACAGACACAGACATACAAACAGAACAGCAGCAGCCACATTGGGGAAATGAGACGCCTTGATCCTTAACCCTGTGAGGCCTACAGCTCGGGACTCGCCCAGCAAGGCCCAAATCCCAGGTGTTCAGCTCCTCTGGGTAGGTTACCTGTAGAGGAGGGCTGCGTGAGCTCAGAGGGTTGGGAGAGTTGGGAGGCTGTAGCCGCCTGACCATCCTTGTCTCCCTCAGAGTCCAGGTGTGTTCTCACCAAACCTGGAATGGCCTGGGGATCCACAGGCTGCAGGACTTGTTGGATCTGTAGGTTCCTGGCTAAATGAGGGTGTAATGTTGTATTTTTTTGGGTTGTGGTGAAGTTGTGTGTGAACCAGGAAATCAGAGGCAGAACAAGAGAGTTGGAGGCAGTTGTGCAGGGAAGGTAGAGAAACACAGAAGAAGAGAGGAGGGA